GCATTGCATATTAGAAATAAGGTTTAACATTTCATTTGAAAGTTTTTTTTTTTTCTTTTTTCTGATCTAATTATTATTTATTTAAAATTATTAGTACCATAAATTACATATATTCGACATACTGATCATGTAAGGAGGAATGATATCAAGTTTTGCATTCACTCTAATCTGATAAAAGACATATTTAGAAATATTAAGCCCTAACGTTAAATATTTTATTTAGGAACTGGAAAAAGCATATGAAAGTATTCGAACTGAGGCATTATCTGAAATCAAGTATAGCTACACATCCAATATTAATCTGGAATCGGATGCTATTGTTATGAGGTAAAAATTAATTTATTTTTCAAATAATTAATACTACAAAAAGTTAATCTAGTTTATTCATTTTTCTTCTTTAATGAAAACAATGACTTTTTCGACTATGTAAACAATCATCTAAAATAAAAACAAAAAGAGAAAACAAATGTTTTTCATCCGAATGAACAAATGTTTCAAGAATTTGATTAATTGTAGAGAAAATGAAATATTTCTTCTTGATTTACAATTGACATCTTCAACAATTTATTTTAGACTTCAGCAAGAACTTTCGGATCTTAAAATAGAAGCCAGAAATCAAAAAAAATTGAGCCAGGAACAAAAAGAAATCATTGATCGATTACAGAAAAATCAATCCATTAAAAATCCACAGGTTTACTTTTTCTTTTTTTTTCTTTGATGGTTTAAATTATATCAGCTCTAGTTTATTTATTTTAATTTCTGAAGTATAATATTAGGAAGAGGTATCAAAATGGCATGAGAAGAAAGCACGTGAAAGTAACGTTAATTTGATTCGGAAAAAATTGAAAGAAACGCAACAACGTGAACAGGAAGCATGCGAGAAGTTAAAAAAACGTGATGAACAAATTATGCAATTGCATAAATCAGAAAATATTCGAAATACCGAACTGAAAAGACTACAAGAAATGATAAGAAAATTGAAGAATGAAAAGGAAATGAGCAATTTACAAATGAAAATGATAAATGATCGGTTAAAGACGTCAGAAGAGACAAATATATATTTGAATCAAAAAATTGTTCAAATGAAAAAGGTTCTATCTTATTTGATTCCACTAATTTATTATACTATTTATAGAATTAGAAATTGGGTTTAAGTAACTAAGCTTTAAATAAGATAGGAGTTTGACTTCAGATGTTTTACATTTTTTTCACTTCTGTTATTTTGATATTTAACTTTCATCATAAATTAAGCTTCATACGTAAACATGTAGCAATGCTATGAAGATGCTAAGCAAGTGAATGTTCAATGAACTTTAAGCTAAATTGAATTATTATTAAAATTAAATTACTATCATCATTATTAAATTAGCAAATTAAATGAAAATACTTCTGTAAATAGTTAATTTTTATTTAAGGAAAGCAATGAATTATTGGTAAGTATTAGCGAGAGAGAAAAAAAATCAAAAGACATAAAAGCAAGGGATAAAACCACTGAAATAAGTAAAGATGTAATAAGAAATATACCTGATGAAGAGTTACGTAAATTAAAAGAAAAAGCTGAACAGGTTAGTTATTCTTTTATTTTTCACCTCTAGTAGATAATGAGGAATGAGGAAGATAAGAAATTCTAATATCAAAATCAGTATGAATCAGAAATTCATGCTTGAAAATTATCTTGCAACAGATAATTTTATATTTTCAAACCAAAAAAAAGAAAGTTTAGAAATTTGTGGGATATTTTCAGTTTGATAATTTAATGGAACAATTAATCAAACTGGAAACAGAAATTGAGCAACAACGTGAAGAGATTCGATTACTTACTGATAAATTAAATGAGCGAAAATATGACTGTGGTGCAGTTGCTGTCTTACGAGATAAGCTTATGGCTAAAGAAAAAGTTATCGAACAACAAGTTATTGTTTACATGTGTTTGCATTTACCTTTTATTTGTTTAGCAATTAGTCATTTCACGATGAATGAAATTTGATCAATAGATGTTATCTTGGTTATAAGTAGTTTAGCTTTACTATTTTAGACTATATCAACAAAAAGTTTATAGTCTTACACGTTTGTATCAATCCAGTAATTTTGTCACCGACAACCCGTACACAACCTTAATCCTTACTATGTAGGTTCCCAAATATACCGCATTGATCGCTTCCATATTACTCATCGCACTCCGTTTCAATCTTCCATACTTTATTAAATTTAATTTTCAGCAGCAGCGAATCGAAGAGTTAGAACGAGAAAAATGGCAAAATCTGCTGTAGCATTCATGAATTTTTTGAAATAAATATATCTCATGCATTTGATACTGTTTTCATTTAATTAAGCAAAATTGATGAGGTTCATTTCTTCGTCGATCAAGCAACAAAGTGATACTAAATGACGAAATTGCAATGTTTTTCTCTCAATAAATAGCTTTTATCTTAAATATTCCTCTCAATAAAAGATAAACAGCTTTTATCTTAGCTACTCAAACAATTCTACAAATACTTCAAAATAACAACAAAGTAAATAAAACATCAAACGATGACCCAAAATTGATTAATTTAGGACTTTATATATGAAGTATCTTCTTTAAATTGAAAAAAAAAAAAAAAAAACAAAACAATCCGATTTATAACATATGTTGCTGTACAACTAATATAAACAGCAAAACGAACAAATAAGCTACTTGATCTCATTTGCATCTGTCAGCATATTTGGTATACCATCACGAATTGGAAAAACTCGTCCACTTTCAGGACATTTCAATTCACCTTCGATGACTTCTAAGCACACCAATAAGCGATGTAATTCATTCTTCAACTCCTTATCTTCCAATTTCTCAGGCAATTGCTCAGGCAATTTATCACCTTCACCTATACTTAGCGCTGCTTCTCGAAAAGCACCATAGTTTAGCTTTGGAATCATCCGTTGTATAAACGAGTCGTTATATTCGTGTTCAGTTATTTCTTTTCTTGTTGCTGACAAAATTAGTGGATAACCCTCCGTAACACCTTTCAGAAAGACCGATGACAGGAAATTATGCGTAAGTAACTTCATCGCCAGTTTGTGTGACAGTTTCCTTAAAATCTGAATTAAATTTCCTAACACATTAAAATGATATTTACAGTAGAAACGATGTCAGACGCATAATTCTCCGATTCTTTATTCCACAGTATTCTTACACAAAATCAAATTGTTCTGCATATAACAAAATGGATTCTGTAACGGGTACAGAATTACAAGAAATTACCGCTATTAGTTTACTAAAAAATGGCCAGAAAAAGAACCGTACAGAACTTTCAAAACCAGCAAGTTCGTAGATTGTCGGAATAAAAAAAAAAAAAAAAAAAAAAGAATCTCATGCATACATACACACAACACTCGAGTAAACATTTTGAATCCCTTCATGCTGTTCATTACATCTTAACCACACACATCGATAAAGTATAAGGTATTAAAGAGCGTTTATGACGCTTTGAAAATATTGGTCAAAACTAACCAAAGTATATTTACTGTTTTCGTAGCAAAATATGGAGCAACAAAATTTGAAAAAAAAAAGAAAAAAACATTAAACTGTTCAAAAAAGATGAACTACAAGTTGCAGTAGCTTCAAGAAAAAGGAAAAAAGTTGGAGCAAAATTCAATGAACGTCAACAAAGTTAACACTAAAATTCATATTATCGAATGATAAAAGTAATATTATCGGACAACATTCGCTTTAAAATAATGTCTAAATAAAGCGATACGAAATAAACTGAAATTCACAGTCTAAAAAAAAGATAAAAAAAACCATTAGAAATATCAGCTAAAGGGAAAGAAGGCAGCTTATTACATAATAATGAAATCATTTTATTCTGTACGTGAGAATTCCAAAAAAAAAAAAAAAAATCATGATTGGGATAGGCCAGAGCTCTGACTGAAGGTCTGAAGATTTTTTAAAATGCTTGCTTTGATTTAAAACAATAGAATTCCTTTCTCGCCTTCCAAGATTTGTGATTTAAAAAAGGGCTTGCTGTAGTTAAATTAAAAACAAAACAACTGTAAGTAAAAATTTGAAATGAATTAGAAAAGCAACTGGGCACAATACTAAATTTCTGCAAGTGACCAGAAAAAAAAGGACAGAATACAATACAAGATACTGAAAACATTTTAATATTTAAACACACCAATATTTTCAAGGATGAAGGTCGAAAATACAACTTCAGTTAACCACAATAGAATGAACAACAATTGATACCCGAGATCCAAAGATGTTTTCAAACATGAAAAAATTGAGAAAAAGTAGAATACTGCTGTTAGCAATTCATCCAGCAACCAACTAACCACTGTAGCAGAAAGATGCATCAAAGATTTAGAGCTATAGCTCTTATTTCTACGGTTTTCCAAACATTTCAATTTGAGAAACATCAACCAGCAATACCGGAGAGACAATTCAATAACGATGCAATAGTAACACAAATCACATTGAGCGCGCAATAATACGTTGACCGCAGAGTTTATCGAAAACATTTTTATGTCACAAAAGAGAATATTTATTTCAAGTAAAAATGTCAAACATAGGCAATATTATATGGCAATATTCTGCAAATATTTCACACTTATAAATCTACGCTGGAATTTATAGCATTATCTAGATAAAAGACAGATTTCAGACTGTACTATCTGCATAATCATTATAACTAAATAGGCTACATAAAAAATGATCATTATCATTAAGTTCTAAGATTTAATCAACTGCATCCTAACCACGGCCAACGAGTGAAATAACAGAATGAGGAAAAACAAAAATAACTTGTATTATTTGCACTGTTTGAAAATTGCACCTTAAAGATAGGTGACGTGATTTGTTTCATCTACGTTACTTCGAAAGATAATAAGAAGGAACGACTTACTTCATAATTCCAAATAATAGTAATAAAAGAAAAGAACGTAAGAGATTCTGGCATCACGTAAAAATATCAGGCGAACCAATTAATTTTTTCATAAAAAAATGAAAAATAAATTCATGACTATTTCCTCATTCGTCGTGCTTTTAACATCTTTCGCGTAGTCGTCGATGATGTTGAACCCACAGAGAAGAAGTTGGTTGTTGGTGCTGATCCCGGAATATTCCTCCAAATAAATTTTCATTAAGCACAAATCATAAAAAAAGCAAGGAACTGAAAAAGTTTTTTTTAATGAGAAATAACTTTTTGCAGACAATATTTACTTTTACACTACGTGGGGGGGAAAAATTTTCTTTAAAGAAATTGTGATTTTTCAAAAAAAGGAAAAAAAAAACGGAGAGCAGGATGACAGTATTTTATCACATCTTCCCTTTCGTAATAAATCACAATTTGTTTAAAAATTCTTTTTACGTCCAATTAATTCAGATTTGTTAAACACTAACTCCACTGAAAGCATTCTTACCCAAAAGCAGGTGCAGCTGTTACAGGAGTGAAATTGAATGTTGTTGAAGCTGCATCTAGAAATAGGATATAGCAAAAAACGAACTTCCAGGCAACTTTTCTCGAATAATAGCATAGCAATTGAAAATTGTAATAAAAAATTTTTAAAACAATGTCTAAATAATTGAAGACAAAAGATGTTATAAAATTCCAACATGCAGAAATAAGAACTAACTATTCACTGGTTGCTGTGCACCAAATGTAAAACTTGGCGGCGGCGAAGTCGAACCAAAAACAAATCCCGCTGCACCGTTTGACGATGCTGTGCCAAAATTGAAAGCTGACGGGGATGATGTCAATGATGCCGGTGGCTCAAAAGGCTTCAGCGCAACCGGCGTTTGTTGCTGTCCAAATGAAAACAAAGAGGTACTTGGTGCAGCGACCGGATTTTGTACGGTTGTTTGCAAATTCCCGAACAGTGTTCTGGAACAGGCAGATCATGATAGTCAGTTTGCAAGTCAAAAACACTGGTATTATAAATGTCGAAAACGACAATAAGTGTTTCAAAACGTAAGTTTTGGTAGTAACTAAAAAAAAGTAAATTCTTCAAATATTACATTTTACCATCAATATGTACTATAAAATCAATTCACGTCCAAAAACTAGAATGAATGAAGTATATGACAAAGTATCACTTTACCCAGTAGTTGGGTTTGAAGCATTCGAAGCACCAAAACTGAATAAAGCATTCGACGATTTAGACACACCAAAGGACCCAACTGTTGCCGAAGAGGTTACCGGTGAGGTTGTCGGTGAACTCATTTCGACGACATCATGGCTTGCTTCTGGACTTGATACTAATCCGCTACTGGCTCCAAAAAGCGGCACTACAAAATTGAAATATTTTTGAAAGACTGAATAGAACGCTATCCAATTTAAATATTTCAGCACAACTTTTCTCCAGTATTCTTTTTGGATTCGAACATTTTATACAAATTTTAATGCAATAAAATTTCATTCAATTCTTTAAAACTCCAACGAAATAAAACCTCACCTTTGGGAGTCGGCAATTCAGGTAAAGCTACACCAAATAATGGCAGCGAAGTGGTAGTGGTTACGGCAGAAGTATCGGTTGTAACAGCAGGAAATGAAGAACCAAAAGAAAACAACGGTGCAGTCGCCGTTTTAATCTCCTCGGCTAAACAATAATTTTGTATTAAATTTTGGAGATTAAAATTGAAAGGCAATTGCTTTAGGCCTGTGTTTGATAGCCTCATAATTTAAAAATCTTCTGAAACACATGCCTGTTGTTGTATTGGAAGAACCAAATGTGAATAGATTTGTATTTATTGAAACTGGAATGGTGAAAGTGCTTTCGGATAGAGGTAGAGTTGTAGCTGCTGATGTTGTCACAGTTAATGTTGGGAAAGAAAGTGATGAGCGAGTCAAAGAAGGAACAAATGAGGCTGTTGTTACAGAATCAAAGGAAACGCCAAAATTTAATGATGCATTTGGCGGATGATGAGATGGTAACATCGAAGGTTGTTCTATAAAAATTAAAGAAAACTATTCGCATTTTACATATTTTAAAAAAGTTTTATAAATATGATAACGACTATAAACTTGTAAAAGATGTAAAGTTCAAGTGTTTCCAAACACCTAAGCATACGAACCTTCAGTTACTGTTGGTAAACAGTTTGCCTCCGGAGCTTTTCCAAAACCAAAATTTGGTGCTGATGTGCTCGACGATAAACCAAATTTCAATGACGCTTCAGTATTAGCATTTCCATTAACAACAGTGGCTGGATTTAATGCTTTCGTTGTTGCTGGAGATGTCGTTAATGGTAAACTGGATCCGTCAGTACCAGATTTCGCGATAGAAAAGCCGAAAGAAATGCCTAAAACTAGAATTGAAAATGAAGGCTGAATTTTACAATTCTCTCGCTTTGAAATCACACAACAGCAAAATATTAAGAGAAGCGTCAAGGAAAATAATCATGTAGTAAGAAAAAGTTTATACCGCATAACTGTCAGAAATTTAGGTTCCCCTCAGATTTCGTGAAATACTCATAAATGTAGATAAACTGTGGAATATAAAAATACGATACCTCCACTAGAAGATACAGGTTTGAAAGTACGATCACCAAAAACGTTGGTAAGTGAACTACTTTTGACATTTATATCCGTTAGCTTTACACCTTTACCATTACTTTGTTTAGGATTGCCGCATGCAATGCATTTGTCATCAGTTGATTTATTAGAAATCCAACATTCACTACATGTCCATGGCTGGAATAGTTTTAAAAATAAATATAAATGTAGACTAAATTACAAATACATTCTTTTATTAATCAACATGCATTTTGTATCATGATCACATGATTATTCCACTGTTCCTGAAAATTCAAAAAAAAAAAAAGTTAAACTTCTATGAAACTACTTTTAAAAGTCAGTATTAACAGCTAACCTTGGATTCCACTATATTTTCATAACCACAGCAGACGCATTTTTCAATATCCGTTTTATTAAAAACCATACATTTTGGGCACGACCATTGTTCCGATTTTTGTAATGGTTGTTTCACAGATAACGCATCTGACCTTGCAGCGCTGGCATCCGTAGGCTAAAACGAAGGATCATCCACATATCCACAAGTTTCAAAAAAAAAAAAAAAAAACAAATTAGTAATACAAACCTTGACGATTGTAGAAACTTCAGTAACTGGTTGAGTCTCTTTATCTTTATCTGTACTGCATGACTGCTCTACAAAACAAAAACTGTGAAGAAAATAGCCACTAAGAAGAGACACTATATACATTTCATTTTTCTTCCAACAAAATTCAAATTAAACAAGTACCTTTAATTTGTTTCGAAACACTTTTAGTCGGGAATGAAAAACCATCCACAGCCTTTTCAGCAGTAGCCTTGAATGCCGTTTCAGTGAATGACGGGAGAGACCGAGAAATCTGAAAATGAAGTTTAGAGCTCCTGTAATTCTATATTTAATATTACAGTATTATAGAAAAGAAACATAATTCTCTGATAATTAAATGCATATATGTCACTATAATAAGGGAAATACACTTTGCCTTATTTGCCTGCCAACATGGAAATCTAACATTTGTAGCAGTTTCTTCGCGATGAAAACTTGCTGAAGGTCCCCGTTTCATCGGTGGAGCGAAAGCAAACATAGCGCCATCGACTTTCGTTGTACTTACCTGAAGATCAGAAACTTAAAAAGCTGTAAGAAGATAAACAAAAATTTACTTTTGGTATGATACCAATCTTTCAGGAACAGCAATTATTCATGAAAAAAATCCCCTAAAACAAACATGACACCCAGTTCTTTCAATCAGGAGATGAACGATCAAAAGTTATAAGAAAATTGTACTTCTCAACTTCTTACCAATTTATCTTTATCATTTCTCATCATTTCCTTCACTGGGCTTACTACGCCCAAAGCCCTAGCACTGAACACATTAGTCGGCTTTGCAGATGATGAACGTTGGGGTAATACGGTAACTGCAGATTTAACCGCAGAATCAGACATGGGCAATGCTGCATTCTTCGCTGACACTGTCGACTTCTCCACATTGTCATTGGTTAAAACTTTCTCTCGGTCGGGTTTCCTTGGGGGACTCAGAAAATCAGCTTTCTTAGATGGCGATAAACAAGATGATTCTGTAGTTAGAACCTCATTGGATTCACGAATGTGGTCTGCATTTGGTTGGTTATATTCTGGGATTTGAACAGGATGCAGTGAAGTATTGGAAGAATCTGCCATCTTAGCTAAATAAGTCGGACGACTCCTGAAAGTGCTGACTGATGAACACAATGAACATAAATTTATAAATATATTACGGGAATATATAGAATGTTGAATATCTACATAAAATATTTGTGTCAAGTCTATTTTTTCTAAGATTAAAATTTTGGTGTCATTAAAAGACTAAACAGAATTCAAAATCCGGATAAATACAAACATAACAATTATAATTTTGTGTCAAACGATATGTCATTATTGATCTTATGCAAAAGTCCATTTTTGAACACATTAAGCAAAAAAAAAAAAAAAAAAAAACTATAAAATACAAAATGAACAAATATAAAACCAGAACGGTGAACTCGATTTCGTGGAAAGAATGTTGGATATTAGCTGAGCACGTGATAAAGTGCACATGGAATTTCTTGGAGGCTTTTGAACTGCACTGCTAATGGTGTCGGTTGCCCAACGTTCTGGACCATCCAAATTAAAGGATGACAATCGTTTCACTTCCTGTGAGAATTAACTATTCCACATATTCAAACAAGAAATGTCTACAAAAGCAACAAAAAAGAAATATATCCCTTTGGATACATACTCTTCCGTGGTTAGATATAGTATTAAGTACTCATATTATTTCAAACACTGTATATTCTTTCGAATCTTGGAAAAAAGTTACCTTGACAGGTGAGCTAATTTTCTCTAATTGTTCAAGAATAGCTCTTGTTTTACTGCTTAACGACGAAGTTGCGCTGCTACAGGGACGCGATACTCTTGGTTTTATTACCAGCGAATTCAGTGGTGTGAAAGATGAAGCAAATGACTGGTTTAAATGACTTCTTCCAGTTTGTGGTACATCAGATAACGAAGATAATGAAAGGAATGACTGCAAAGAAAATATATGCATTTCGTTATCTTATTTCCTGCAAAACATAAAATCCAGTGAACCCAAATAATAAGCCATACATTTATCACTCTGAGAAGCGATAGTGAATTATCAACGAAATACTTCAAGTTCAAAGAAGTAGAAAAGAACCCTTTCATCACCGAAATCCCGTTGGATTCTCGAGCGTTTTGTAGAACGACCAGAAAGAGGCTCCATCACAGATGATGTGGTAAACGCATTTCTAGTACTCGACCACATTACATCATCATCAAAAATGCAACTTGTTGCAGCACGTTTTCGCTGAAATCAGAGACATTCGAATTTGATAATATTAATTAAAGATAAAGCAAGGGGGAAAGCTCACCAAATTTAGCAAAATTTCATTGAACTAGAAAACAAATAAAATCGCATCGTCGAAAAAATATCAAACATAAGTTAGCGGATTATCAAAAGAAAACTACTTTTGTATAACATATTCTCATGAAGAGAAAAGCAAAACATTATATATATATATATATATATTTCTTACAGTAACACTTGTAAGCGTCTCTTTATCGGATGAATTTGTAACAGATCGTGTGGCCGCTAGGATTGCTGATGGACTCAGATAACGAACAGTGTGCTGTTTTGGTATAATATCATTTTCTAAAAATTACGTTTACTCCGCATTTCAATATAAGTTTTCAAATTTGGGAATGACATACTTAAATTATGCACGACTTCTATTATACTCAAGAATTCAATAGTGCTTCCGTTCTACTTTTATTCAAAAGTGTTTCAATAATGCCTCAAAGTAATGATATCACAGTTTTATTACCTACTCTTAGCTTTAAAACAACAGTAAACATTTCGAAAGATTTTCCTGAATATAATAAAAGTACTAGAAAAGATTTTTAAGGAATAACACTACTTTGTCACAACATAGTTGTTAAAAATAACAAGCTTCAAAAATTATAATTCTAAAAATAAAAGCTTACGATTTCTACTAGTAGTTGGTACAGTAGTGGATGGCCCAGCACATGCGGTTTCGATAATAATATCATCATCCTCCTCACCCACATCACTTTCAGATTGCTCTTCATAGGAGCTATCACGTAAGGAATTCTGAATACCAGTACTTTCTCTCGATGTAACAGAGGATTCAATAGGTGAGCGTGACCAAAGGCCCGATATATTATCAACTACCGACGATAGCCAGCCACCCGTTTTTCGCTCCGTCATTTTATGTTCACTAAACAAATTGTCTGATAGTTAAAGTTTTTTTTTTTTTTTTTTCAAATACGTAACAATTAGCAACGAATTCTTCCAAAATCTGAAAAATCCCCCCTCCCAGTCTTTCTATCAAATTACGCGAGCTTCATACACGGCAACTACTTTCCATCGGAAGTCAAAACGAGTGTTTAGTGATTCTTATACAGACAAAAATTACAAAACAACTGAGTGTCCGCGAGAATTCGCCCCTTCAAAACCAAAAAACGAAAAAGAACTAACTGGGCCGCGTTTTACACATTTACGCAGCCCGTTAATATTAACCTCCCTACACTATTCGGAACATAATGCGCACAAACAATCACAAATGCAAGAATTTAATATGTTTTAGTTAGAGGCTCTCATATTGGATAAATTTATGCTTCTTTAATGATAGCCTATCTGTCAACTTACAAAAAATGTGGTCTCATTATCAAAGTGCACAAAATATTTAGTAAGTACGGAATAAATCCATACATACACTAAAAAAGATTCTAACACCTGAACAACAATAGTACCAAGTCGCATATTTTGTTAACAGTAAGAAAAAACTTTCCCTTAAGATCAGATAATAGAACAATCTGATATGTTTAAACCATTTTCCTGAATTTAAAAAAAGCAATCCAAAATTACTGAACAACGGAAAAGCCGAACAAGATATCTACCATATTTGTGAACACGATATTTAACGATATTTATCCGTATATACATATTTCGTCCAGCGTATATCACAGGTCCTATCACTAATAATGATTTACTCATCACAAACTTTTCAGAAATAGAACTGTAAGGAATAATCGATCATCATTTAATGCTTTTACAGAAACATGCTTGCATGTCAAGCAAATTCTCTAGAACAGAAGCATCAACTAACCAAGCATTTAATTCACCCACTAGATTTATTTGCCGAAATAAGGATTCAGCAAGGGTCAACAACAAAGACAGTAAAAAAACAGCAGTAAATTTAGCAGTTGAAGGGATGAAACTTCCTTCAATACTTTTGCCAACTCATTTAATCTATTATATTCACCTTAATTAATATCACCTGAAAATATTAATCAGTAAAAATATAACGCATTTCTCTCATCAATGTATGATCATATGAAAAAAGCAATGAAACTAACACATAAATCAGAAATTAACGTGAAATGAGAGAAAAACCTTAGGGCAAAACAAAGGCATCATCGTGAATCGGAACCTTCCCTCCCCTACCCAACTTGCCCACAAACCAAAAAACACGAACCGCAACGCAACTAGCGCAACGCAACTATTTCAACAGAAATTCTTGAATTGGCGCGCTTGCGGCGAACATGCAAATCAGGAAGTAAGGCGGCCACGCCCAAAACAAATTACGGCCCGTACCCGCCCAATTCTTTGTTACAACTGGTCATTGGGTAGGGCGGGCAGCAGTAGTGGAGTGGTAGTGGTATTAGTATTAGTATAAGTATATATTAGTCTAGTATTATTGTTTCATTAGTTTCCTTCCTGTATGATTGCTTGCGGGTGCATGTGGGAATTATGGATTTATCCCGAAATTAACTTTTTAGCAGTGTGAATAGAATGATGAAATGAAGGAATTGTGTTAACATTTCTGTGGAATATGAATGAGAAATATTTCACATTTCATTGTTAAGTAATAAGCATCATTGAGATAGTTCACAGCATTTTTTTGCATGACAATTATCAAGTCTACGTCATCTAAGTGCTATTGTATTTGTTGTGACTACTACTGCTTATTTATCTTCTATTTTATCCTTAGTAATTCTTGTTCTGTTCTTTTCTGTTCGACTTGCATACTTGAATGGTTATATCTTAGAAAAGAAAAATAACATATTCATCTTTTGATACAGTATTATTTAATCGTTGATAGGAATGGGCAGTAGTGCTATGAAGAATTCCGTAAAATGTCTTTCTTCTTCATTTGATATTTCCCATTATTCGGCTTAGTGATCGCTATGCCAGTTTTGACAAATAATTTTGTAATGATAAATAAATTATTACATCAGAAGTAAAGCATAAGTTTGTCAGCTGGATTGCTCGTTGTTCATTTAGCATTTGCCAGACTATATGAATGTATATTAGTGATATGATATTAGCGGTCAGAAATAATCCCTTCCTTTATTTTTTCTTTGTCGTCTCATAATTCTTTTATCATTTTCATTAAACTAAACTAATATCGGTATATGTTAGGTTGAAAGGGATTAGGTTGGTTCAGGTTGGAAGTTAAAAATGAAAAGTAACTAAAAGTAAGTGAATTTATTCCTTTCACTCATTTATCATCCACATTTCGTTCATTATATTACTTTTGGCATTTTACTATTCATAATGAAATTATTTGTCTTGCTTAGTTGCAAATATTTGTTGTGTTAGTTAAATTTTAGATTTATAGAATTATTCCTATTTTTATTGCTGTTTTTCAGTGTTTAACGTTGCATCAAAATAACAGTTAATTTTATCTGACCATTTCAATAATTCTGATTTATGAAAGGATAAGAGAGACACAAAAAAGGGATTATTTCTGATTGTTAATATTACTAATAGACATTCATATAGGCTGACAAATGTTAAATGAGTAGTTTTTGCTATAATCAGAAATAAAGACATAATCCCTTGTTTTATCAACTTATCTAGTAAAGCTCAGAACCTGAAATCTTGATGTAACCTTACTTGTTGAGAAATTTGTCATTGTCAATTCTCGGTTAGCCAATTCAAGGAAACATTCTTGATCAAGCAATTTCTTGGCTATATATATGCATATTTTCCTATTTTTTGATTACTACGGTGTTTTTTCCATTCTTCAAATATGTAATGTTAAATAGCAGCTGTTAAGAATCTTGTTCAAGTATTCTTGAATAAGATATTCATCAACTTCCTAAAAGAGTTGGATAATAAATTTACAGTTTGTTTGTCTTTTCCATAGGTTTTCCATATTCGAAACATTTATTTAAGAAGTGTTAATACCTAGAATTTACAAAACAGGAAATTGTAATATTTAAATCATTTCTTTGGGAATAATTTTTGATAACTTTTGTTGTCTCTGCTTTCTTTCATGGTAGGGTTAACAGAATTTATTTCCATTTGGTGACGATTTGCGATCTTCTACTCTTCTGATATATAAGGATTATATTATATAGATGAAAGGCTAGAGACTGCATATTATAATATATATATCATTGTATGGTAACCCTCGTAAGAAATGGATTTTCCTTGATCCCGAACCTTACCGATATTGATGTTTGACAATTAATTCTTTAAAATCAAATAAGTTGAATTTGAAGATTCTTAGATTCAATAATGGATGATCAGTGGTACAGAGTTAAAAGTTGGAATGTACTCTAGTATGGGTATACAACATTTTTTCGATTATATTTAATCCGTTGTTACCCATAAATGTATGAATGTGAATGGATATCATTCCGAGTAAGTTTTTTTTTTTTTTTTTTTCAGTAAGCTTTCAAAGTAATGTGAAGTTAATACTGTTTTGGAAATAAGCTTTATTCAATTGCTGTTCAAATCAGTTAATATAACGTATTTTAGCTGTTAAGCTTAAGTTCAGAATTTGGCATGGGTTATCTACAACCTTATTAACGGAGGTTGATTTCATGAGTTCTCTCAAGAATCAGATAAAGTTTCAATAGGTGTACTGGAAGAACTGATATAAAAAAGTAACTATTGAACAATTAAGCTGGATCTATCAATAAAAAGTGTAACTTATGTTAACATTTTTGAAAATGAAATAACCAATGATCGCATCATATTTGCAGCCTTTGCATTAATTCTTTATGTATTTATTATCGTCTTATCAAAATCTGCTTACTGTGGCAGTGCAGACAGTGTTAACAATTCATCTATTGTCGGTGACCAGAAATCTCGAATTTTCAGAAAGCGATCACTACCCAACAATGGTTAGTTTTTCACATTCAAATTTGTTTGTTAATTTGATTTAGTTTAAACTTAAATTAAAACTTTTGACACTTTTTTAAATGATTTATTCAACTTCACAGAAAATCTACGCAATTCATCAGTAATAATTTTTCGTTGTTCAAATAAAATAATAAAATGTTGTTAATCTAGTTTTTTACTTCATACATTAGTACTTTATTTCTTCGTAAAACTTTTTCTAAGTTACTTTGGCAAAAACGTATTCTCGCGTATTTGTTGAAAAGGCGCACAACATCAACTCTGTAAATTTCTCAGACTTTAATAGTTTTGAAATAGAGGTTAATAAAGTTTCTAATTGAGGTCTTCAGCTGCTATTTCTTTGCAAATTAACATTTTTTTTTTAGAAAAATATAAGACCCTATGCTTTATATCACGATAAACCTAATGCAATATTCTTGACTTGAATAGTATAAAATTATCCGTTTTGAAAAAAGTCTGACACTGTAAAAAGAAGGAAAGGACATTGCCAGTGCTTTCATTTGCTCTTTATAACTGTTCAATCGACCATTTAGTGAAGTTATCAGTGTAATGAGAAGGCACCATCACAGTGATATGAAAAAAAAAAAAAAAAAAAAATTTCGAAGAGTTTGTAGTGATTTATTCGATCGATATATTGGGTTTAATTTCAAGTTGATGGAGATTTGAAAATTTCTGTCTTAAAAGATCGGAAAGAAGTAGCTTTAAAAGAAGCATTTTTTTTTTCTAAAATTATTTTGCTTAATTCTGCAAATAATTTATAAAATCGGCGTAATCTGCATTCTTTTTCATGTTCTCAATAATTGATATAACTGATCGAAAACATTTGTTAGTTGCTTGGCCATTATAGGATTTTCATATAATGATATACTTGAAAGAAAGTTTTTATTACCATAAAATTTTAATATCAAATTTGTGATTCGAGAGAGTTAAAGAAAAGTTGACTTGTGTGGTCAAATTTCAAATTTAATTAAATTAAAACTACTTTAAAGTAGTTTAATTTAAAATTGAAAATTTTTTCTTGTAAAGTTCTAGAAAGCCCATTCATCAATGCC